GGAAACTGAGGAGTGTAATATTTAGAAGCCTGTGCTAATTCAACAGCTGAACTCAAAGATACCAGCCATTATAAAGCATTGTTTCACTTTTATTCAGTTGAAGTGAGATTTAGCCAGAAATTTTCGCAGATTACAGAGCAACTTTCATTATTTCAGATGAATAATACTGTGTAGTATCATGGAAGGACAAGATGAGTAAACACAGAACTGCATCTAAATAAATCGGATGTAGTCGAATGAAGGAATTTCAAATTTGGATCCTGAATAAGAGTAGCCCTATAGAAGACAATGGTAACATGACATTCATCATTGTTATTTGTGAGTATGTTCCGCAGAAGGAGCTGCTGGAAACCAAGAAACGTCAGAGATCTATTTTCTCCAGGACTTCATTAGTCTTAATGCTCCTCTTATCCTCTCACGCAGGAGAAATGTATTTCAATATAATTATTCCTGACTGATAAATATTGGCGGATTTATTCATCTACTTAATAGTAGTTTGTTGAGTAATACAAAAATGTGGATGGGTATTATGATGTCAGGATGTAATGAGATGGTTCGATTGAGGAATTCCTAATTTTAGCACAAATGCAATCGTGAATGAGGGATGTAAATATTCTCTCATCAATTTAATCTGTTTCATGGAGGATTTTCAGTCTTCTGTCATGAAGTTCATCACAAACAGAGGAATTCTGCGCAACAAATCTTGATGTCTACTTCTAGGTGTCAGTAGTAAATTCACGCCTCCCTAACTAATCCTTTATTGACAGAATGGGTACTAGCTGGATGTACCTTCATGGGCAGCAACTCAATCCAAGCCATTCAATACAAGTTAGGTCTCCATTTAAATGTTAGTAAACCTTATTACATAACTGTTTAGCTGATTTCGAGACTTATCACCAGCCAGCTTCAATTGAAGCAACACTATCAAAACAACTATTCCATCCGTGTCCCGAACACTTCCAAAACACAAGTCTCATTGACCACATCTACTAATTCGACGTATGAATCTCATAAGTGACAGGAATCTGTGAGAGCAGATCGAATACTAGTGGACTCTCCAAAATGATAGCTGAAGAGTGAATAATCTACTCCCGTCACTCAGATAACAACAATGAACATAAACATATCACCATCAACAGGAGAAATTCATCATAAGTCGCTTTTCTCGCTTATCCGCACACCACTGATTCAACTAAAGGCATATCTAATGAGAATCAGAAATGGGAGACAGTCTTTCATTGCTCTGAAATCATCGTGAAAATATACTACAGTCAGTACAACAAACAAAACAGAACTTCCTACACTAATTTCAATTCCCTGCTTATTTAAAGGTGCTTCAGAGTCTTCTCGAATACATCATGAGAGGCATTTCTAATAGCCTGCAGGAAACATTCATCAACAGCTGTCTTCTCTCTATATGGGAGATCGGATGTCCAGTTGGAAGTAATAAGTAGGAAGGAACTCCTTCAGTCGGTGAACCAAACAAGAATCTATCATCCAGCAAATGTGCAGTAGGAAATGGGGATGTGATCGAGACACACTGAAGAGATTACCGGATTATTGCATAGTGCATGCAACCCTCCTTACAAGTAATTTTTCTAAATGAGCCACTGTAAAACCATGTATTAGTACACAGGTGCTTTGCCTTCATTTGAGAATACACACTACCATCCACACATAACCCCATCCATTGTCGAAGAAATGAACTTCTGTCTATTGGATGACCTTGTTGACCGTTGGATAGCAATAATAATGCTAACCAAAGTAAAGGATGTTACCATGGTAGATTCAAAGTGATCACAATCCACATTGACACACAGATACCAAGTGAACATACCTTACACTGAAGGTTATGTGGTTCCGAAGTAGGCTGTATATTCAGCCTGTCATTGAAAATCATGTACAAGAGGATTGAGCTTTAAGTCACTACGCTGCCTGTTGACCATTAAATGGTAGTAATAATGATTATCAAAGTAAAAGACATTATCATGGCTGTTGCAAAGTGATGATCATTGTCTGCTGTACACAGGTGACAAAGTGACATACTCCAATTGCACAAGCTTCTGCAGTTGCAATTATCCTGAGAGCTGATTCCATTCGTTCTCAAAACATGTAAATAAATTGTTCATATATCAGTAATCAAATACGATTTTTCTAGTAATATTTTTTTAATGAACGTTTCTGTAGCCCATTTCACAAGACAAACAAATGCAAGGATTGGTTACAGAATTTCATTATGAGCTTACATCGGTTAGAGAACCATTGGAAAACCCACCAGGGAGTAATGGACAGCTGTTTCGTCAGCCTAGTTGAGGACTCTTCATCAGTACGCACACACCGACGTTCAAACCCACGACATTTTGGCTACAAAACTAGCGAGCTCGTAGACCATTAAGCCACTGGGACCCGGTCCATTGCCCAACCCATGAATTCTAATTCCTGCCAATTCACGACACAGCCCGACTGCGACAAAGCAATACTTGAATATCAATGAGATGCTCACAAGCGACCGGTCCTATTCAGGCAGGTAGTTCTAGCGAGAAGTCGTGACCGGTGAGGTACCGAGTATGAGGACAAATAATTGCCGAAGATATTAGCTAGTGGTTGCGCTATGTCGTAAATTAGCAAGAGTTAGAATTCATGGGCTGGCCACTGGATCAGGTCGCAGTGGCTTAATGGTCTACGAGCTCGCTAGCATTGTGGCCAGAAGGTCCTGAGTTTGAACTTCGATGGGTGCGTACTGATTAAGAGGAGTCCCAAAGGTTGGGCGAAACAGCTGTTCAGTACTCCCTAGTGGGTTTTCCAGGGGTTCTCTGAACGATGTCAGCTGATGATGAAATCCTGTAACCAATCAATCGAATCCTCACAAACCAAAACTAAATTACAAGGATTCTTACGGTTGCACAGTGTTTTACATATATGGTCTGTTTATATTGTAGATAGCGATACTGCGGTTTATAAAATTTCACATGAGTTGATATACATAGTTGAAAATTACCAACCTCTTAAAATTGATATTCAAGTATTGGCTTGTAGGGATTTGGTTGATTGGTTACAGGATTTCATCATGAGCTTACATTGGTTAGGGAACCATTGGGAAACCTGGGAGTACTGGACGGCTGTTTTGTCCTAGTTTGGGATTCCTCGGCAGTACGCACCTGCCGGGGTTCGAACTTAGGACCTTCTGGTTGCAAGGCAAGCTCGTTCGTATACCATTAGGCCCCTGGGACATGATCCAATAGCCCATGAATTCTAACTTCTGCCAATTCACGATATAGCGCAAACGCTAGCCAATGTCTTCAGCGAGTATTTGTCCTCACACCTGACCTGCTGCAGCCTACTGGTCACGACTTCTTAAAACTAAGCCAAGATAATTTCTCATTTAATTATTTGTAGAAGTTCAAGCTTCAATGATTACTCAATCGCTTATAACAAATATTTTACTTCAGCTCAATATTCTAATTTGTTCATATGGCTTCAAAGAATAAGTTGAAGTCTATTTCAGATAGTTTAGCTCATTCCAGTTGAAGTGACCGTCAATACACCTGCTGGTTTACTCGAAGGAACTTCTTACCCAGTCGACTTGTGAGCCTACTATTTTTTTTAGTCAGTGTTAGCAACAGCAACGACACAACACGATTCCAGTGAACCCACTGACACAAGAAGACAGACTGTTGACATAGAGAACTTTAACTGCCTCGAATCAACAACGAGAAAGGTTGACGGCGATAGCCTTGAGAGACACTGATTACACTGGTAAGTTAAAAGAGTCCACAACCAAAAGGGTTCCCAGGTCGCACGCAGGTGGAGGAAAATACAAACACTATTGTACTTTGAAGATAAATGTAGTATTGTAAAATAAAATTAGGTATATATTTCACCAGGTGGATATAAATTCAGACACAATTAAATGCATATAACACAATAAACTCTCTGTATGTGCACAGAGAGAAATTGTGATTACTTTCAATCTACCATTGCAACTGTGACTACTGGAATGGATAACTATCTGATTACTGTTTATAAGGTTCTTGTCTGCAGGGAAAGACATTAAATTCTTTCACTCTGCCATATAATAAGGGATATGTCTGTAGTTCTGACTGTGTCAATGTCCAACTATCTTTCCTAACAGTCACGAATACTGAAAAAACGGTTAGTCTTCAGGAATTATTAAAGATGAAGCGTACATCCAGTTGGCGAGTCCCAAATAGAACGAAATGCGCTTTATGCTGGATTCCACTGCTAGTCACCAATTCACCAATTCAATTCTAATTACATGCCCAGGCATCGTTGAAGCGTCTGCACAAGAATCAGACTAACATGTAAACCTCAGACCAAACACTTTGGTCCAATCAATCAATTGCCGGAAAAATCTAAAATTTAATTAAATAATGAACGCGTTTTGTTGAGAAAAAAGGTAATTTTTGTTTAATCTTCTATCTTTTTGTTTTAATCATTCATCTGAACTAATTTTTCCATTTGAAGTGAAAAAAACTTGTACATTCATATATTATGTTCATTTGTGTAGTTAAATACAGTACACTACAAATGTTAATAGTTGATAAGAAGCTAAAAATACATTAGGTGAATAATAGATCTCTGAGAATTCCTAGTTAAAAAGAATAACAATCACAAGGGTAAAGTTTATCATCTAGATAGTTAGTGATGCATAAATACAAAGACATAAACACAGAACTCTTTATTATTATTATTGTAAGTAGTAGTATCATCAGCCGAAATGGTGATCGAGTGTAGCTGTTTGCATAAGAAGCATTTCAGTGATTTACACAGTACTGTTCTGTTTGAATGTATAGTGTAGGTCATTTGCTAGAAATGTCAGTTTTTGATTATCTCTTTCACTGAGGAGGGGGGGCGGCGAGAAGGAGGGAGATGTGTGTTAATTAAGTATCTCTGTCTGGTACGTATATGTTATGTTCAGTGATGTCTTCAGTAATTCTTCCCTGGTTTAGCTACCGGATTATATATATATATATAAATGTTGTGAATTCTGGTGAACTGTCTCCTAAATGGTTGTAAAATTACAAAAATTACACTGAATTTTTGAAAAAAATGTTTCCTTCTCATATAATTTTATTCATTAAAATAGTTTTGCTTTCATCATGATCCTGATTTATACTGTCGAAAAAGACATTTACATCCCCAGTACGACTGATAAACAAATCTTGTGAATGATGTAATCGTTCCATTTCATCGATACGCTTTAAAACTTTTTCCCGTCTTACATGTTCCTTATAAAAATCAGCAAAATTATTCACAATTATTGGTATAGGCAGTGCCACAACCAGTACACCGCAAATACAACAACAAGCACCAATCAATTTTCCGAGAACTGTTCTCGGCAGCATATCTCCATAACCGACAGTAGTCATTGTGATTGTTGCCCACCAAAATGCTGCTGGTATACTCCGGAACATTTCAGCATTGTCGTCTTTTTCAGCAAAATACACTAAACTTGAGAATAATACTACGCCTAAAGCGATAAGCAGCATAAGTAGGCCTAATTCTTTATAAGAACGTTTAAATGTATAACCGAGGGCTTGTAAACCAGTTGAATGTCTAGCAAGTTTAAATATGCGTAGAATACGTAATATCCGAAATATCTGTACAATCTTTCTCAAGGAATGCAATGATTCATTATGATGTCGGGTAACAACTTCAATGAGTAGAACATGTATGTAGAAAGGGAGAATAGCTATTAAATCAATGATGTTTAGTATACGCTTAAGAAATTTTAATTTATCCGGTGAACACCATAAGCGTAGTAAATATTCCAATGTGAACCATGAAATACAGATAGTTTCAACAATATCCAAGTATAGATTATCTTTTAATTCACTGGTTGAATGTTCATCTTCTATGGTTGAGTGATTAGTCTTATGGAATATTTCATGCTCAGGAGATTTTTCTGTTGTATTCATCTGCATTTCTGGTATTGTGTTCAACGTCAAACCAATCGTTGACAGAAGAATGAAGAATATGGAGACTATTGCAAAAACCTATGGGATAAAACAAAAAAACGAAGTATATAGAAATTATGGTTCCGAAATAGGGTGTTCTAAAAAGTAAAAGCGTTGGTGGCACAGCGGTTAGGACGCTCGCTGACCATGCACATGGTCCGGAGTTCGAGCCCAGGCCGACGCACTCTACCTCGGTAAGCCAGTAATAAAAAGCTGGTAAAGAGGAAAGGCTGGGCATGAGGCTAGCAACCTCGACCTGTAAAAATAAACACTGCTACAGAAACTTCAAGCCTCTAGCTTGAAGCCCAATGTTTCACTGGGAGCGTGAAGGAATTAAAATAAATAAAAAAAAGTGAAAGACTCTTCACAAGCATCAAAAGTTCTGATTATAAGCAACACATGAAAAGTTAGTCTGTTTTTTATGTAGTTGTGTTCTCTGAGCTGTATGGTTTATATTTGCAAAGCTTTCACTACCTTACTAGACAACATCTTCAGAGCATACTTCAATTTGAAGTGAGCCTTTAGATTTCTCCATGAGTTTATTAGCCATCTCTCCGGGTGGGTGACTTTGAACGCGATTGGTTGTTTTCGTGTGTTTTCACACGCTCTAGGCTACTTATATTAGTGCTGATTGTTTCCTTGACCTGAAGTTTGACTTTTTGTGCATGAGATTTTCCGCTCGTGGATTGGTAGATTTTACCTACGTCAGTGGGCCTGTTCATTGCTGATTCACTGGGATACCAGGCTTTCAAAATTTCTCTAACCTACTTGGTGTATCCTCTTTCTGATATTCGGACTTTGTATCAGTCGTCGATGATGGATACTTATCCATGAATATTAACTGACCGTCAAGAGACATGACAGTTACTCCCTCATATTGCTGCATACTGACAACCACGGATATCAATTCGACTTGGACAACGTTCAGATATTAGACAAAGGAAACATCAAGAGAGCTGGAGAATTTTTAGAAGCCTGGTATTCCAGTGAATCGACAAATAAAAGACACAACAAAATAGACAAAATTTACTAATATATAAGTAGGAAATCTCGCACAAAAAAGGTCAAAATTCAGGTCAAGGGAACAATCAGCACCAATACAAGTAGCAGCCTAGAAGTTGTGAAAACACAGGAAAACACCCAGTCACGTTGAAGGTCACCAGCAAAAGATGACTAATAAACTCGTGGAGAAATCTAAAAGCTTCCTTCAAATTGAAGTATGCGCTGAAGATATCGCTTAATGGTGGGGCAATGAAAGATTCCCAAGTAAATCATCCAGCTCAGAGAACACAAAAACATCAAAACCATACACGTGAGGTATGAATCTTCTCCATCATATCTAGAACAATCTGTAAAAATTTATGCTTACAACAGATCAAAATGAAAGCCTCAGGCTGGAAAATATAAAAATTAAGTGGAATTAAAGGGATATTTCCAAAAAATGACGATGAAGCGTGTTGCATCATCAAGCACAGTCGTTTTCTTAGTACGCTTAGTGTACCAGGGAAAGCTGATAATTTCAAGGCTTTAGAAACGATAGTGTATGGAGTTCAATATTGTGCTAAGTGTTTCAGTTGGCAATAATTATGAACCAGAAGAAAAAATTAGATGAATCCATTGTGTGATGTCGTGTTATAAATCTCACCCATTTAATGCTTAATCATAACCTCATCTAGTTCATTAGTTCACTAACCAGCCTTCAGCCTGGAAAAAAGAGAAGGTTGGGCAATTGGCTACCGACCTTATACCAGAAAATCAGTTCGATAGCCACAGAAAATTCAAAGCACACAAACAGGTAAAAACAGATTTGAAAAAGCTTCCATAGAATCGAACAGACGAAAGAACGCAGGTTGATTCCACAGCAGGCTAGGGTAGCAATAGTAGCTGAACTTGTTTCTTTTGTACACAGAATTCAGGTTGTTCTAAGCGGATTGTCATGTCTTCTGCTGTCTGAAGAATTCAGTATCTAGAGGATTATGGCTATTTATTCAATACCCAACAGGTTACAGAAAAAGTTTCTTCAGTGCTGGATTTGTGGCATATTTGGATCAGATGATGCAATATGGAACTGTTAATAGTTTTAACTACGCCTTTATTTAGCCATTCTGGTACGTGTTCTGGAGCACGAAATTTATTTATTTATTTATTTACTTATTCGAGGGGAAAACGCTGACATTCCTAATAAGAATCAAAACTAATTACTTGGAAAATATATTTCAACTTAACTTTCTCAGAAGGATATTGCATTTTTTTCGAAGATATTAAATATCTGCCTGCCTGTACTGTGATCTAATTGTTCATTGAGTCAAATGTTGTCGTTTTCTAGGGTATTTTCTTGTCACATAATTTTAATTCAAATGATATTCTCATGGTGTCACCTTCATAATATATTCATTGTTCTTTAAATGACTGACCATAGGAGAGACTTTTCTGGGTTTGAATAAGTAGGTCTGACCACTTTAGTCCAACATATCAGGTGTTATGACAGTGACTGATAGTGGGAAAATATGTAACGCGTTGAGAGGTGTTAAAATTTGTGAGTAATTGAGTTCATTAGCTAAATGAAAACATTATCGCCTGCTAACTTGAAGATTCTGGGTTGTGTGTTGCGCAAAGAATGTTCAAAACCAGGACGAAACAACTGTCGCATGATCCCTGGTTTCTGAATGAAGTGGGTCCGCCATGAAATTCCGTTTGAAGCGACTTTCAACATGTAAGTTTATGTACTAGGAAAATATCTCAATGTAATTCCCTGGATTGTAGTATACTATACATCCATCCCTTCGCCCTATACTGAAGATCAGATGGCCGGAAAGAATCACAAACAAGAAACTATGGAAACAAACAAAACAAGAACCAATCACTCAAAAATATGCAGGAGGCCACTGGGTGACATCGCGCGTCAGGCCACACCTCGAGTGGAACCCGAAAGGGAAGCGGCGAGTGGGACGTCAGTGCAAGGATGACATGAAGGAGATCGTGTGATGAGGAACTGAAACAGTATGGATTAACATGGACGCAGGTGAAAAGTACAGCGGAAGACGGAAACAAGTGGAGACGTGCAGTTGAAGACCTATGTTCCACTAGGAACCCAAGGAAACAATAATAATAAATAATAATATATCCATCCTCCTATTAAACAGAAATTAGGGATGTTTCATTAAGAGCACTGAAAAGTAAACATCAGAATGAATTAATCTGTATTTATTTTTATTTTATTTTGATTACAGCTTGATGCCACACCGTATTTTCAGTACAAGTATGGAATTTTCAGCATGGATATCGGTATCCCAAATTTTGCAGGCCGACCATAAATATCGGGTGTGCGTCGGCAGGGGATCAAACCCCGAACCATGGGCATGGTCTGCGAGAGTCCTAACCACTGTGCCACCGACGTACAAAGCGCGTGATGGAGATGGGAGTCGAATCCACGCCCTTTCGGACTGGTGATGACAAAGTTTGTTTACAAGCATGTAGTTAATGCAACCATTGCACCATACAGATCCTCTCTGTGATATTCTTTTACAATGAAGATGAAAGGAATACCTTTCTACATTTTGCTTTTAATGTCAAAATCAGTGTGGAATTGTAAAAGCGATTGTTTAAGAGAGGAGAAAGCTTGAAATAGTAGGTACCTAACCGTTGAACACATAGAGCAATCAGTTGTCGGCAGACAGGGCTGAATGATCAAAAGACATGCCTCGTAACCTAAAGATGATGACTTCGATCCCCGATAATACGTATTGCTGAAGCTTCACGAGCTGAGATGGAACAGCTATCCAGTACCCTCTGATTTCCAGTAGTTCTCCTAATTGAAGTCAGCTCGTAGCCAAACTTGAAACCATTCAGATGCTCACAAAGCAACGCTTCAGGACTAGTAACATTTTGAAAAAGACATGGGTCACATTTTAACTAATTTGTCCAGCATCAACTGAACTTATGCAAGATTTTTTTGCCTGAATTAAAGATTAATCTTCAAGCGAATATCAAAAGGATATTCAAGAGAAGCATACTGCAAACGGATTGAATATAGTAAGGTTTATCAGAATGAATAAGTGTCACGCGTGGTCAAATCCTCATTGGTGTCCTCCATATTGAAACAAGCAGTAATTTAAAACAATTAGTATTTATTATTATTTATTATTGTTTCCTTTAATTCCTAGAGGAAAATAGGGCTTCAGCCGTGCGTCTCCATTGCGTTCGGTTCTCTGCTAGAGTTTTCACCTGGCTCCAAGTCTCCCCAAACTTTCTCATCTCCTCTTCACATGACCTCTTCCCTTTCAGGTTACACTCGAGCAATGGCCTGGTGTGTGATGTCACTTGATGGTTTCCTCAGAGTATGGCCAATCCATCTCCATTTCTTCCTGCCTATTTGTTTCACAATCGGTTCCTGGTTGGTTCGCTCCTAGAGGTCACTGTTGCTGATCTTTTCTGGCCGGCCATCTGATCTTGAGTATTGAGCGAAGACAACTGTTAATGAAGGTCTGTAGTTTGTTTGAGATGCTTTTTATGGCGAGCTGGCCAAGTCTCTGATCCGTATATTAGCACTTCACATTGGAGTTGAAGATCCGGATCTTATTTTTGATGCTGAGTGCTGTTGACCTCCACACAGACTTGAGAGTAGTGAAAGCTTGTCTTGCTTTTCCGATTCTTGTTTTGATATCCTCGTCAGTTCTGCCTGTAATTGAAACGATGCTTCCAAGGTAGGTAGTTGAAGGAGGTTGTTTCCTTCTTTCTTGTTGTTTCTTTCCCATTTATGCTGATTGTTGTCAGTTGTTGTTGTTGCTGTTGGTGGTGTTGCCCAAGAATCTTCATCACCTCTGTGTCCTCTATGATCACACATTTACTTTTCAAATGACAGACTACTAATTCATTTGTTAAACCACTGACGTGAATGAAACCAGTTCTTTTCATTGAATTTGTAATGTGAAAGCAAAAACCTAGACAAATTGCTGTCTACGCTTTAGTTAAGTGACATTCTGATGTTAACAGCAATCTTTTCGGAAGAACTAGATGACGGTTTTCCGTCGGTAGACTGA